ATTTCATCAGGTTACCTCAACGCATCTCTCCCCCTTCTTTTTCCTAAAGATCTGCTAATGAGAGGTCAATTGCTTATGGAAATGAGGAAAGCAGCCACTTAAGTATTGTTGCGTGGCGAACGAAGGCTTGTTACCTGTAATGCTTTAATATCAATCATTTTGAGTCTTAATAATGAATGTTTTTACTTTGGGAAGGAGGGAATATATGTATATAGCTGCAGCGTATTTGAAAAGTCTCAGAGAAAGAACTGTTGAATATTCCTGCATGGCTTGATAATGGCTAATTTTGACTCAGTTTTATTCTCCGGGGCAACAGGAAGCCTCACATGTACTGGAAAATGCTTTCCTATCCATTTTAGTCATTAAAAGTTGCTGTTTTTTTTATTAGAATCCCACAGCTGCCTCACCGTGCAGGTGTTCATTGCTACAGGATTCACCGCAGTGGATCACAGCAGTAATCCATCATACAGACCTAAATTCTAGTTGTTCAGCAGTTTTATTTTTACATTTAATCAAGTTTTGGACGGGATAAGTTCTCAGCACAAGAACTTTAAAATATGCATGAAACACCACAGGGAAATGAACCCATATACCACTATGCGCCTTTGCTAAAACTGCTAACATTTTCTGGGACCTGCAAATGTAGGGACACAAAACTTAGTACATCACTTGAATATTGTAACAAGTGGTAAGAGTAAGGAAACCCAGAAAGGTTTCCAGGCCTCCATAATTTAAGATTTGTTGAGATCAACAATTAGGTTTACTGAGGACCTTATTAGATGAGATGCTAGTTCTGTTTCCGGAGGTAGGGTAACCTTAAGAAGAAAAGACTGCTGGCTTCCTTGGGCAGATTAATTTGTTTGCTTTTGTTTCATAATTAGAATATTGACAGCTAGCATGACTGTCTTGTTTGCATGTCTCAGACATGAAGCACTGAAAGGTTTGTATGTCCAGAGGAACAACGCTGTAAGAAGAGAACATCACATACAGTGGTGCCTCACCTTATGAACGTCCCTACTTAACGACCATTTCGAGTTACGACCACTTCTGGCCGCAAAATTTTGCTTCTACTTGTGACCAGAGCTTCCACTTAGGAACAGAAAAAGGCAGGGGGGAAAGGCGGGAAATTCAAATTTCTTACTATAGATGGTGACGAGGCTGCTTCTTTGTAGCTCTTTCGGCCCAGCAGTTAGAGAGTGTGTGATGGGAGGAGGCTGCCTGGTAAGGTAAGGTGCTGTTTCCTGCTTTTAAAAACTGTTCTGGGTGTTTTTGCAGCATGGTTTTGGGCTGGGGGGGGCTTATGTTTCTGTGGTGTGATGGGTCTTGGGGGGTTTGTTTGTTTGTTGGCGTTTTTTCCCCATTTCCGATGGGTCTTGAGGGGTTTGGTTGCTTTTTTGGGATTTTTCCCCATTTCTGACGGTCTTGCATGCATCCCTTGCTTTTTCCTTGTTCTCTTTGCATTTCTGACCTGGTCCCTTTGTTCTCTGTGCATTTCCGATCTGCTCTGTTTGTTTTCTGTGCGTTTCTGTGGGTCCTTGCACACTTCATTGCTTTTCTCCCCCCCCCCACTTCAGCTGAAGGGATTGATCACGTTTCCAATGAGTCTTGCAGTGATTTTTTTTTTGGGGGGGGTGATTTTTTTTCTTCGGCCCGAACAGATTAATTGCATTTCAATGCAATGTCATTGTGTCATCAGTATTAACTTCTTCTGCCCCCAGGCAACAAAAATAAAAATAAGCAGTACTGCAACGCGTAACATAGTAAGCTGCTTTTCTATATATATAGTGACAAGATAATGACACTGTTTGCTTAAAAGTGATGCCCTGTATAACAAGAACAAATTACTATCTTTTAAAAAGTAACTTTCCACATTCTGCTTTTGCAGTTAAATTCCTTCCCGTCCCCTGCTACTTCTACTTAAACATTCTCCCCTGGCTTGCTTGATGAAACAGCTGCCTCTTTAAACAAATGGCTTGGTGGAAAATATCAGGTTATACTTCAGCAGCTAAGCTTTAAAATAAATATGGAACTGACAATTTAATCAATCTCCACCTATCCCCCCTGAGAGCGGGAAACTGCCTAAAATAACCCATAAACTTTGCAAGGTTCCATTACTTTGAAACAAGCCCACAGCATCAATGTTTATTAAAGGCACAGGGGCAGCACACTGACCTCTGAAATGTGTGTGTGTGTGTGTTTATCTCCCTCCCTCTTTCCATTTATTCAGTTATATAAGCTGTCAGTCAATGGGTAAACGACCTGCTTTGCCAAGTGGCTTAAGGAAAGCAGAAAGGTTTCTCACCCTCAAGATAGTTTACAAACTACGGTACATTTGCAAAAAGGGAGGTGGTGTGCGCTGTGGGTTAAACCGCAGAAGCCTCTGTGCTGCAAGGTCAGAAGACCGGCAGTTGTAAGATCGAATCCACGCGACGGAGTGAGCTCCTGTCGCTTGTCCCAGCTCCTGCCAACCTAGCGGTTCGAAAGCATGTAAAAAATGTGAGCAGATAAATAAGTTACTTGCAATCTCTGCACAAAAACAACCAGAAAGCCTTATATTCCATCCCTAAGACATTTTGGAAAAAGTTATAATTTTGGTTCTCTGAGTTCCCCAGGCAATATGGAAGCAAGGGCTTTCTGGGAGTTAATCTAGATACCACTCTTTGTATATAAAGCACTTGCAGCTGCAACTCTGCGTTGTGTCCAGGTTTAATTCCCAGCATCTCAAGGTAGTGCTAACACAGAAGAATTATGGCACATGTAGTCCAAAAACAGATTTGCACATCTCTGCTCACAGATTCCCAGGGAAAAGCCACTGCTGATTAGTGCAGAGACTAATGAGATGGCTCAATGGTCTGACCCAATGTGAGACAGCTCCTGTGTTTCATTCCTGTGATTTTTTTTTAAAAAATCTCATATCTCACTGTATTTGAATACAGTCATCATGTCCCTCTGTCCCTACTCTGCAAATCCTATTCAGGTTTACTCAGAAGCATTTTCTGCTGTGATCAGCGATGGGTGTGCAACCTCACATGGTAAGAGAAAATCTTCTTTTTCTCTCAATGCAGACAAGAAATTATCCCATTATCAGCTAAACACTCCAGCAGGATAGAAACCACATAGGGTGCAGCTGTGCCACTTTTACAGACAACAAGAAAAAGATGGATGAGTAGGTTTCTCACCAGTCCAGGAGGAAAACTGAAAAACAGAATGAACATGATGCATTTTTTTAAAAAAAGAACAGAGAGAGAGAGATGGTCCCCGGTGCAGATAATGATGTAAAGGAAAGGAAACACGCACAGCTTTGAGAAAGCTAGCTGTTGTATTTCCATGTCTTTGGTCCGGAGCTGTAAATAAGTGTATAGTACCCAGGTGTAAGATCTAGACCTGGCAGCGTTTTCTACCTATCTAGGGCTGGAGTAAGCACACAGCTCATTATTATTTTTCAGAAAAATGTGTCAAACATAAGATGACAGCTAGAGAAGGGATCCTGTCATATACATCAGCTATTCTGCAGGACGTATTTCATACACACTCACCTTTGAGAAATATATACCTGGTTTGCATTCCGACTTGCTTCAAATTAGAGTGTGGCACGTGCCAATTGTTCAAGTTTTAATACTTAACATGTAAATAGCTTGATTGTTTCTGGGTATACATTTCTTTCCACCTTACTTCTATCTTGAAAGGAGGAAATCTGCAAATGTTCCACAATATCTTTCCAGAGATACGAGACAGGTGCGGAAATGCTTTTTGGACGGCTCAGGTGGTGCAATTATATTTATTTATGACATGGCTAAATTCCACCCTATATCCAAGAATCTTGGATCTTAATACAAGCAACAAAATCAATACTATATAAACATATTTAAACTATATTATAGCATTCAAAGAAGTTAAAACTAGAGTGGTCAGCCACCTAGAGTGGTCATATCAACCAGATAGGCGGGATATAAATAGAATGAATTAATGAATGAATAAATAAATAAAATACAGGTTAAAGTTTCTATTGAGCTACCTAAAAGTACCCGAGCAACCTGTCTCTCCCTGTCTCTCTAAGCCTCACTTATCTTACAGGACTGTCATAACAAGAGAGAGGGAGAGCCTTGAGTTCCCTGGAGGAAATGGGAAATGTATTAAATTTTTAAACAACAGCAACGCAAGTATTTCCGCTCCAGAACAAACCTAATGTGTGTTTATTCAGATGCAAGACCTCCACATGTGAATATGTCTGGGGGATATAAATTGCTATAAGCTCTAAAACCTGAGTAGAACCTCCATTCACATGAACAGTCTACCTTGGGATACCAAATGCACCATACCCACAAGAACTTGGTGCACCGCCTGAGGAAGATGAATCATCAATGAAAGCTAGCTGTTCTTTCCTTGGTTTTTTTTTTTTTTTAGTAGTCTACTAAAGGTATCACCTGTTTCTGCATTTGTATGAATCAATGAAAGCTAGCTGTTCTTTCCTTGGGTTTTTTTTCGTAGTCTACTAAATGTATCACCTGTTTCTGCATTTGTATGGGTTTGGACACCACACAGCCCTTTTCTGATTTTTTTTTCTTCTTTAAATCATGGGGGTATAATAAATGGAGTGAGGTTATTGCTTGAATGCCCTGCTATTAAAGCTTCCTAGGGGCCAATTGCTTGCCAGTGGGGAAAGCAAGGTAGATTTCCCACCTAACCAGGAAAACCTCTTCATATTCTCTATGCAGGCAAGAAGTAAGGGCACCTTTTGACTACATAAGGAGGTACTGCGCATGCTCCATTTTGCCAGCCCTGATCCTAAAAGCATGCTTTATTCTTCTCTTAAAATACGGTTTTTTAAAGCATGTAATATTTTCAACGCGGCATAAACCCATCCCCCCTTGACATATACGTGTCTGAAGTATCCATAACTCAGAATAAATAGGAAAACCTGGTTCCAATTGAGAGCACGAGGTGTGGGCGGAGTGCCTTCACCAGGTACTCCCGAACATGCGCAAGATGGAGGCAGGCACGCATGCGCACAAGCAGAGGGGAAAAACCATTGCGAGAGCGAGGCTGCGGCCCGGTGGGTTACGAGGCCCGGCGCGTCAGAGGCCGAGAGAGGTGCGGCTGCGGTTCCCGGCCACCGGCCAGCCCCTCTTCCGCCGTCGCCATGGCTCGGGACGTGAAGAGCAAACTCTCGAAGAACCTGCTCCGGATGAAGGTAGGAAGCCGCCTGAGAGGAGGCGGGGCGAGACCGGGGGGCAACATGGCGGCCGCCGCGGCGAAGCCGGAGCCGAAGCGCTGAGGGAAGGGGCGGGGCCGGGACGACTCCTCCCGAGGGGCTTCGGAGAGAGGGAGGGAAGGAGGCGGACGGAACCGAGCGGCTTCGCACGGGGGGAGCGGGAGGTGGCGATTGGAGCCGAAGGACTTCGGGCCTTCGTGGTCACATTAAACGGGACTGGGCTTTAAAAAATAAAGAGGTGCCCGGGCGGGGCCTCACGGCGGGTCACCGTGGCAGCGCTTTTGAGCCCGTATCTTTCCTGGTAGAATCCTTCCTGCCTATGAGGACAAGCCGCTCTTCCTTTGAAGGTGCACTCTGCATATGCCCAGAGGCTAAATTTGGAGGGCCTCTCCACACATGCCGGGAGGGTAAATTTTTTGGGGGGGCGGGGCAATCTGCACATGTCTAGAGGCTAAATTCGTAGGTGCACTCTGCACATGCCCAGAGGCTAAATTTGTAGGTGCACTCTGCACATACCCAGAGGCTAAATTCGGAGGTGCACTCTGCACATAACCAAAGGCTAAATTCGGAGGTGCACTCTGCACATACCCAGAGGCTAAATTTGGAGGTGCACTCTGCACATACCCAGAGACTAAATTTAGAGGTGCACTCTGCACATGCCCAGAGGATAACAGGAAATTAATGGATTCTGGGAACGAATTAAATAGATCCCGGTATAAATTCAGTTAAGCTGTACTGAATTGAGGCTGCCTAGAAGGCGTGTATCCTAACACCCTCGTCTTTGCCCAGAGCAGGAGGTGATGATTATGATGATGATTTTGCAAGCCCTTCCTGATAAATCTAGTACTTGGGTAAACCCTGGATGGGAGGGAGAGAAGCAAAATTAGGTTTAGATGTTTCTGCACATGTAGAGATTATTATCCTATCATATAATGTAGAGATTATTATCCTATCATATAGGCTGAATTTGTGACAGGCTGACCCAGATTTTAACATTTTATGGGCTGGTTTGCAGCAGACACCACGAGACGAAGAGGGAAGGTCTACCAGAGGTTTGGAAGTTAAGCCAAACCTGAAAAGATGCTCCGGGTCATGGAAGATTGCGCTAAATAAGACTTGCTGCTCTCCAAGGTCCAACAAAATGGGTTTTTTATAGCTTTGCTTCAAGTAATAACGTTTCAAACTGCTAGATTTTAGGGTTCTAGGAAGCTGCCCTTCTACCATCTGTCCCTCTGTTTCTCTTTGCGGTTGTCATCCAAGTGCTTATTGTAAACATGTTCATTTATACACGCATTTGTACATATACAGTACATCCAGAAACAGGCAACTTCCCCTCTCCCCTTTATATCAGTGTGTGTTTTAGAATTAAGATTTCAACAGAGGTTAGTCTGATACTTCTCTTAAAAAGTTTGGTTTTAGGTTTAGCAGGCATATTTATTTATTTAAAACCTTTTTAACCCGCCTTTCTCCTTAAAACGGACCCGATGCGGCTTACAACAGTTAAAAGGCAGTATTTAAGTTTGTAACAATATAAAGCCCTTGTGAAGGAAGTGAATTGAATTATTATTAATTTTTTAAGCGCTGGGTTTTTTTCAATGCTTTTAAAAAAAATCTTCTGTTTTATATTTTGAATTTGGGAGCCCTGATGGGCAGAGAAAAGGTGAACAAACACTTTAAATAAATGAGACGTGCAGATACTACTTTATCTCCTTGGCAGCTCTTCAGAGTCTTGCTTATTGCTTACTCTAAGACCCATTTTATTTCTTTGTTTCATTTCCAGGCTGCTGTTGTGCAGGGAGGGGACTCTGAAGAACGAACCCAAGGTTAACTAAATATAGAGGTGCCTTGCTAGACCAGTGGTGCAGATACTACTTTATCTCCTTGGCAGCTCATCAGAGTCTTGCTTATTGCTCACTCTAAGACCCATTTTATTTCTTTGTTTCATTTCCAGGCTGCCGTTGTGCAGGGAGGGGACTCTGAAGAACGAACCCAAGGTTAACTAAATATAGAGGTGCCTCGCTAGACGATGATAATTCCTTCCACTGAAATCGCTGCTTAGCGAAATCATTGTCTAGTGAAAAGCTTTTCCCTATTGGAATGTATTGAAACCTGTTTAATGCATTCCAATGGGGAAGAATCGTCGTTGTCTAGCGAAGATTGGCCATAGGAATGCCGCTTTGCGAACTGCCGATCAGCTGTTTAAATCGCTGTCTTGCGAAGCTTAGGTCCCGAAAACACCTGTTTTGCAAGCGCGGAGGGAGCTGTCAAAATTGTCATCTAGCGAAAATCGGTTTGCGAAGCAGGGACCCAACATTGTCCAGCGAAATTCCCCCATAGGAATCACTGTTTTGCGAATCACTATAGCGATTGCAAAAAGCCAGTCTCTAGCGAAAAAAACTGTAATGCAGGGTAACTGTCTAGCGAGGCACCACTGTAACTAGCAAACTAACCCAGGATTGAATCTGGAGCTCTCTGCAGCAAAGCTGCAGTTTTTACCATTGAGCTGTGATTCAGTAGCTGAGCCACATTCAGTAATTCAACATATTTCCCACTTTGCTTCCTACATGGGGGCTGGACTCCGTGATCCATAGGATCCCTTCCAGCTCTGCAGTTTTACGATCATTGTAAAATCAGGGTAGGAAGAAGAACTTTATACAGTATACTGTTGACAGCTTACAAGAGTAAAAGTGGAGTGTAGCTAATACCTACATTCATAATAGTGAGTTATAGCTGTTTTCCTTTCTTAGAGCATTTTTAGAGAAATGTGTTCAAATGAAAGGTCATTCTTTCGCTGCCTATGGAGTTTGCATGTGCTGATGACAAGATCTTGCAGCCATGCTAATATTACCCCTCATTTCCCTTGCTCATTTAACTTTTTCCCCCCTCCTGTCTTCCTCAACTCATCAATATAGCCATGTGGCAATTCAGGGAGGGGGGGAAATAATATTAATAAAGCGCTGACCTAGCCATTGACCTTGGATTTGCGAAGCCGGTGCTGAGTCCAAAGTGGAATTAGTCTCGGCTCAGCAGTTAATGGACTCCGTTCCTGTCCTATAATGTAACACATAATTCAGTGGAGGAACGCAGTGGCGTGATTGATGATTGCTCCGTTTCAGAGGACAACATCTGAGTTGAATTGCCATTAATTTTTTAAAAAATATAAATATTCATTAAACATTTATAACTCAATCTAGCTGGGCCTTCATGGTTTGTTTGCTTCGCTTTTACATTAGCGCCGTTCCATTTTATCTCTTTTAGGATGTGGTTGAAAAGGGCTTTCAACCCAAATACCAAACAAGATGATTCTCTCTCCTCCCCCCAATTCTCTCTCTCTCACTCACTCTTTTTCTTAACAATTTCCATTTTAATTTTCAGCAGGGACATTGTATAGAAAGTGTTCTACATCTTACAGCAATTAAAAGTTGGTTGCTTAGGAAATTAGTACAGGTGGACCAAAGGCTGCCATCCCGTGGAATTACGTTCCAGTATTGAAGGGACTTCCTCGGGATTGCGGTCCTTTTAATTTGGAAGTACATTTTACTATCTAGAGATTAACAGGACTTTTGAGTTATTGCGGTTCAACTTAATCTATAATGTTTCCTCAATCCTCACCAGTTTTGCTGTGAATGTTAAAAATTCATGTGCAAGGTCATTTTATAGCCACATGAGAGTGCAGCAATGATACTGTGTGGCAGAGCACAGTGTTTTACAAGGCAATTCTAAAAATGAGGCATCGCAAATGGAAAAGTATAACTTTTAAACCGGACTTCTGATCAGGGCCATTTTTGGCACAGTTGTAGCAGACTGTCACCTCTTGCTCTTTGCCAAATTTGCGAACAAAGTATTTTCAAGTTATGATTTTTTTAAAAAAGTAAAATTGCTCCCTGCCGCGTTCCCTGTGCGCCCCTTGATTGTTTCACCAAACAAAGGCTCAAGCTGCAAGCTGTTCAGCGGCCACCAGTTGTTCACAACAACTTTCACGATTGATGACAGAGGTCCAGACAACGTGTCATTTTATATAAAGCAGAAATAGTTTATTGTAGCAAATAATAAAGGTTAAGCCAACTTCATTTGTTTTGAACTAAACAGTCCTAAATGATCTTCATTGGTTCCCTACACATCAGCTGTGGTTTAGCAATCTGTCTTCCCCAAAAAGCCAAATCCACCATCCTCCTGTCTCCTCCTCATGCCAAGACTCTTATATCTCGTGACTCCGCTTCTCCAACACTCTCATTGGTACCTGCAGATAGCACATTGATACTGATGACCTGGGCGGATGCCACACGCCCGTTCAGAAACAGGTGGCCCTAAAAATTAACCTTGGTTTAAAATAGCTCACCCAAATGTTCTACATCTTACAGCAATTAAAAGTGGTTGCTTAGGAAATTAGTACAGGTGGACCAAAGGCTGCCATCCCGTGGAATTACGTTCCAGTATTGAAGGGACTTCCTCGGGATTGCGGTCCTTACACCTGTTAATTTGGTGCCTCCGGTGGCTGCCCAGTGAGAAGCAGGGTCCCCCTGCCCTGCCTCCTGCGACCGGGCGCCAGAGGAAGCAGGGCACTAAACAAGAGAACACCTGACTGTCGCACGAACCAGCACACTCCGCTTCTCCAACACTCTCATTGGTACCTGCAGATAGCACATTGATACTGATGACCTGGGCGGATGCCACACGCCCGTTCAGAAACAGGTGGCCCTAAAAATTAACCTTGGTTTAAAATAGCTCACCCAAATTGAAAACAGCCCGTCTTGCTTATCGTGAATGGCAATTGTTGCCACCACCACAATTTTCATTACTTGGAATGAATCCAGACTGTATGCACCTTGGTGGTTTGTGCCGGTTCAGAGGATCGCCCAACAGGTATTTCGGGGTTTGGTGCCCCACTAACTCCGGTGGCTGCCCACTGAGAAGCAGTGTCCCCCTGCCCTGCCTCCTGCGACCGCGTGCCAGAGGGAGCAGGGCACCAAACACCTGATTGTCGCACGAACCAGCACAGACCTGCCAAACCAGTAGCTTGTGCCCATCTCTAATAGTGAATGCTCAGAATGGGTTTGCTCTTCCCTTCTTCTGTAGGGGGTGTCCTGGGACTGCGCAGCTTGCCCAAGGACACCTAGGCTGGCTCTTCTTCCAAGGGCCACAGTGGGGAATTGAACCCTTACTTTGGACTAGCTCAGTGGTTTAGGCGTCCAGCTGCAGAGCCAGGGGCTGAGAGTCCAATTTCCCACTGTCTCACCGGAGCTAGACTCAGTGATCTAGTGGTTTAGGCATCCAGCTGCAGAGCCAGGGTCTGAGAGTCCAATTTCCCACTGTCTCACCGGAGCTAGACTCAGTGATCTATAGGGTCCCGTCCAGCTCTGCGGTTCTAAGATGATGATGACAATGACTCTGCAGTTAGATACCGAACTGACTGAGCTATCCAGCCCGACATCTGATCCTTTAGTTGCCTTCATTCTGTTTCCTAGGAACGCACTCCAAAAACAAAGCGGCTTTTTTTTTTTTTGCATCCTTAAATCAGTTTCTTCCAGCTTTGTGAAATCTTGGCTGAACCCAACAAATCCTCAATATTTTCTTTGTGTTTCAGAAACATGTACTGTGGTGCTAAGAGAAAGGTACCCGTACTTGAAAGGCATAAGAGGTGCTGCCAGATTGCAAAAGCCTTTTTTTTCTGACCTTGCTGCTGCATGAAGAGGAAAAGCCTTCCTGTGTTTGCATATTTTATTTATTTATAAAACGTATATGGCGTCTTCCTGTGCCAAGTACCGTGTTTCCCTGAAAATAAGACAGGGTCTCATATTAATTTTTACTCCAAAATAAAATATTTTTTTAAAAAAACACGCATTCGGGCTTATTTTAGGGGATTTTAATTTTTTTTTCATGTACAGAAAAGCCTTCCTGTGTTTACATATTTTATTTATTTATAAAACGTATATGGCGTCTTCCTGTGCCAAGTACCGTGTTTCCCTGAAAATAAGACAGGGTCTTATATTAATTTTTGCTCCAAAATAAAATAATTTTTTTAAAAAAAAGACTCATTAGGGCTTATTTTAGGGGATTTTTAATTTTTTTTCATGTACAACAATCTACATTTATTTAAATACAGTCATGTCATCTTCTGGTTGCTGCACAATGGCGGAGGACGGGGTTTCACTGAACTGGGGCTTATTTTGGGCTTATATTACAAGCATCCTGAAAAATCATACTAGGGCTTATTTTCAGGTTAGGTCTTATTTTCGGGAAAACAGGGTATCTGCTTGACTACTGGTGCTGAGTAGCAGCAAAAATAAAACATAGCTTAAAAATACTTTCGGCTCGCCAACTAGAACGGAAGCGGGGTGGAAATAACCTTTAAAACCTACTTTGCAAGATTCTGGTGAGGATAATGGAGGAGAGACCTGCGCCTATGCTGAGTTCCCTAGAAGAAGCATGGGGCATATTTGTGACAAGCGGTTACAACTAGACCACAGCTAATTGCATTTCAGAGATTCCGCATTGTGGATAAACAATGTATATTTTTGCTTCTGATGTATCTTTTCTGTGACTTGCATTTCAGTTCATGCAAAGGGGTTTGGATTCAGAGACGAAAAAGCAGCTCGAAGAGGAGGAGAAGAAAATAATCAGCGATGAGCATTGGTTTCTGGATTTGCCAGAATTGAAGGAAAAAGAGTAAGTTGTTTGTGTCCTTTTCTTGGCTCGCGTGCAGGCTGGAACCCTGAAAAAGTTCCCTCTGTTAAGTTTTATTTCCCATGAAGCCACGAAGGAAGCTAAACATGCCCGTTTAAGACTATTCAATCCTCTCCGTTTTGTTACTTCTTCATAGGAGCTTTATAATAGAAGAAAGAAGTTTTGCTCCGTGTGAAGACCTCCTGTATGGCAGAATGTCCTTTAAGGGCTTCAATCCTGAAGTCGAGGTAAATTTGTCGGTTGTGCACCGTTGTTTGGCTGAATGACACAAACAATAAATGAATGGGGGCAACGTGCACCTTTTGGCGGTGATTCAACACGCACCCACATCGCTTGTCTCAGATGCTGATCTGGTGCCAGGAGACGGGGAACTCCATTCGTCCCAGTGAAACCCAAGATTTCTCTTGCTCCCCAAGCGGAGGGGTGCCGAGGAGGGTCACTACGTGAGATCTCTAGTCAATACATGTCTCCTTGACGCCGCAGTGTGAACCACAGGGTGTGTCAGTATAGCACACTGGCCTTGTTTTTTTCTGAATGTTCATTTTCTTCTAATTATTCCACTATTAGAATGAAGGACTGTTGGGTTCAGGCAATGAGCAGGCTTATGGGCTTTGTGGTGATCACCAGATAATGGGATAGCAAAGAGTCTCTTAGCAATAGATTAAGGAAGTCAGCCACACGCAGAGATGGATGTCTTCCAGCAGTACTCCTGGTGGGCGACTCAGCAAGGAAGCAGAATGAGAGGTCTTCTTCTCCCCTGCCCCCAGGAGACTGTCCTTTTATTAACATTACAAGGTCACAGGTAGTGACAGCATTACAGATAGTAGACAGGGTTCAGATAGGACAATGGTTACATCATGTTATTAGGGTTGGTCTGGAGAAAGGCAATTAATCAAGCCCTCTGATTGGCCTAAGGAAAGGCCTCTATAGCAAGCTCTCTATGATAATGAGAAAGAGGAATAAGGGTGGCAATTCCTCCCCCCAGAAGCAGCGGCATGATGCTAGGAGAGTTTTCTCTACACTACAACACCCATGTGGCTTAGCAACCTTGGGAATGGCACCCCCGCAAAGGACCATTGTGTGTGTGGGCAAAAGAATGACTAATAGGTTATTCTTAAATGGGAAATCCACCGCAGGATGTACTGCAGCCAAACCGTTTGTGGCCTGCAGGCCACTATGGGGCTCTGGAACATTAAAAACCGGTGTCATGATCAACTACTGTATTTAATTACGATGTAACGTGAGACCCAGAACTGGTTTGGTGGGTCATGTGCATCTTTATCCCTCAGCCAGGTAAAAGGCAGATGCCTACACTCTTGTACATGACTGTCTTTTTCTCTCTTTTAACAGTGATTTTTCTCTTTGAGCCAAATCTATCTCCTTGACTTTCTTCAAGGAGTGCAATACGCAACTCAAGATTCCACTTTTTCATTTTCAGAAGTTAATGATCCAGATGAACTCGCGGTACAAGACTGAAGAAACCGAGGAAGACGGTTGTGCAATGGAGGCTGATGTATCGGATGAAGAAATGGCCAGAAGGTAACTCTTAGCGTTTGTGACATAAAAAACATTAACGGGAAGATGGGTTGCTTCCTTTATCTCTTTACAAAATGAAAAACCTGGCCCACAATCGGTAAACGCTTGCCGTACATAGCATTTATTCCTCAAAAAGAATCTTTCACGGCGGAATGAAGCTGTTGATCGGATGAGTTAGTACTGTTGTTTTAAAACCCTTTGTTTCCCCCACATATCTTAGCTGGAAATCATCTATAGGCTATAATCATTACTTATTTCAATTCATATCTCTCGCTTTCCTGAACAAAAAGGCTCTGAGGGAGTAAAGCGTAACCATTCCTTGTAAAATGATTTCAAAAGCAAAGTGATAACTTTTGCTGTGGGCCAAATGGAACACCACAGCTGTGATTGCATTTTGTTGTTAAAACTGAAAAGTCTGTTTCTGTAGTGAAAGATACTTTGGAGGAACGGCGAAGAGTTACTGCTTTCGGGCGGCAGGTCCTTTGCTCCCTTTGCAAACATTTCTGGTGGCTGGTGAATTTTGAAAATGGTTATCTAAAGGTGGTGGGGGGGAAGAGGCTACTTTTCATGGCTGTTGATACACACTCAAGTGGATCATTGATGGGAAATTTTGTTCTGCCTTGATTGCATATCTAGTTGATGAACCTCTGTAATGTCTGGTAGGATGCTGATGTGCTGTATCAGACCCTTGATCCATCCATCATTTACACCAGTGCTGAGCAACCTGTGATCCTCCAGATGTTTTTTTTAGACCCCAGCTGCTCTCAGACTAAACCAACATGGCTCGCCGCCAGGCTGGAGTCTAGCAATGTCTGAAGGACTCTATGGTCCCTAATCATCACCATCACCTTAGATCTGCAGAGCTGGAAGGGACCTTATGGATCATTGAGTCCAGCCTGTGTCAAGGAGGCCAAGTGGGGAATTCAACTCTGGAGTTGCAGCCAGAGTTCTAAACCACTGAGCTATGAATCTTCACTGATTAGCACTAATTTGTTGGAAAGGCATTTTTCCCAGTTGTCTCTCTAAAAAAGCCAAGAACTGAATAACACCTATGCTGTGACACTAAGCTGTAGTCTAGGGGTGGGCAGCTTTTCCAGAATTTCTGCCCATTCCTTTTGGCTTTGAAAAAAAAAGTCTACCTAGGCCTGGAGAAGCTGGCAGAGGGACGTTCCCCCTGCACCCGGCACAGAACAGGTATATTGGTGGGTTCTTGGAGCCTGTATGCAGGCTGCAGGCCAAGCTTTGCCCTCCTCCATTCGCGTCTTGCCCTAGGCAATCCATGTGACCTGATGGTAGTTTAAAGCAGCAGAAGCCACATGGATGTCTCTGCTGCATTGCAAAAACGCAGTGGGGGAAACACAGGAAGGGGGGTGCCATTCTGAATGCCAGATTGGCCCAACAGTCTTTGTAGTCCAGCCTTCTGGATCCTGGTGTTGCTATCCAGATACCTCCGTGAAGTGGATACTGAAGCACAATAACAGCTTGTCCTGTTGCCGTTTACAAACTGATGTTCAGAACCTTTAGCAGCCTTTGCTGTAGGTGCATTCTCCTCCGTTTTAAAGCTGTCTCAGCTCTTGATTTACAAACTGATGTTCAGAACCTTTAGCAAGGAATTCTCCTTTAGCGGCCTTTGCTGTAGGTGCATTCTCCTCTGTTTTAAAGCTGTCTCAGCTCTTGCCCACCTTGTAGCTCTCTGTTCTGTCAGTGAGTTCTGGACAGTGCAAGGGAATACGGACTCCAGATTTGAAGCCCACCTTACATGGTTATGGCCTACATCTTTATTCCGGCTTCTTAAAAGGACTGCATGTTCTTCTGGCTATGCTATGATCAAAGGATAGCCTTTCCCCTCTGCTTGTTTTTTTTTTCTTTAAAAGCTATTGTTTTCTTTACAGATATGAAACTTTAGTGGGAACCATTGGGAGGAAGTTCCTGAAGAAGAGAGAACGCCACATGGTACAAGATGGAGAGGAGGAGGAGGAGGAAAACAGTAGCAGGAGACCCAGCAAAATGAAGAAAACCTTTTTAAAACCCCAAGATTGAAATGGGGATGTGCCTTCGTTAGCCTGGAGAGATCTTTTATTTTTTTAAACTGTTGTAATAGCAAGGTGGGTTTTTTTGTACATATATAAATTGGTAGATCCCTTTATGTCTCTAGGACAGAGATATTTTTTTCAGAGTAGATGGGTACATAATGGATGTTGCCCGTCTCCTGTTCCCCAGACGCATGTTTAATGTTGGACTGCAAACGGTGCGAGGAGGAAGCGTTGCCTCGAAGAAAGGTTGAAAAACAGCATTAGATTATGATTCTAACTGCAAGCAATATTTTTCAAAGGCAGGTGAACTCTTAAGAGAATCTTACTTTCTCTTGGCTTTCTCAAAAAATACAAGCAAAAGTGTTTTGCTTGAGAAAGGATAGGAAGTCCTGGGAAATTAATTTTCTTTTCCTTTTAGTAAAAAAAAAAGAGAGAATGTGTTACTTCCACAATTTTTAAGCATGTCCTTGAAATCATATTTTTTATTGCAAGGGGCATTTCTTCCCCCCCCCCAACAGTTTTATGATGATGAGCCTGTGCCTTTCATTAAAATGTGTGACACTGTAACCATTCTTGAATAAATTAATTAACCTACTCTTTAAAACACGACTCTGTACAAAAGAAAAATAGGGTTTTTGTTGGCTCTTCAAGTACATCGGTGATACCAGTTTGATACTAGTATTACTATTAACAGTAAACGTTCATTGGTAGTGATTTTAAAAATAATCAGATCTGACTGTCAGATTTTCCAAAGTTGAAATCTGTTGTCAAGGTCAGTTTAGATTTTTATACCCAATTCTCAGCAAGTATGTGGTGTGTGTGTCTTTTAAAAGAAGCAGCAGGCCCCCCACTCGCTTTCAAGGCTGGTCTGCCCAAAGCAACTGGAGATTCAGCAGGTGATTTGTCAATTTCAAATAAGAACAACCCCATCAAGACAAGGCATGTGTAAGCTAAATATCGTCTGTCTTCCTTCCTTCCTTCCTTCCCCTGTTCCTGTGTGCTGCTGGCTTTCATTTGCAAAAACTATCCCCTAAATATCCTCTTCCTCCATCCATCCCTTCCTTTCCCTCCCTTCCTTTCCCTCCCCCCTTCAGGATGGCTCACACATAGAAAGATACAGCCTCTCTTTCCCAAGGAGGAGGTCTTATTAATGTCAGAAAAATTCTGAAACATTGTCTCTTTCACTTTTCTGGAGCTAATTAAATGCTGCTGGGTTAATTACTCAAAACCCGGTCACAGAATATGGCCAGGCAACATTAATGATTTAGTTCTTGTCTCCCTCCTACATGTCATCCTCTGGAGGGTGGGGAAGGAAGGAAAGTGCCTTTTGCATATATACTGTATAGCAAAAAAGACAAAGTAAATATATATAATATACTAGTTACTAGTGAGGATGGAGGTATATGCATCTGAATCACTTTGTTTCTTCCCCTTTAATGTCAGCATCGGTGTCAAAACTTTGTTACCCAA